CTCAAATCGCTCCGAGAAAGGAGTACGAATGTACGGCTTCCCCACTGACACAGAGCGGAGGAAAAAATGGCTGGCTCAAGTCAGCTGGAGCAATTTCACGACGAACAAAAAATAAGTGAGGATATTCTATACAAACACTTTGTTGCACTTTTTCACAAAACGAAAACCACACCATTGGGAAAGCTTAATGTTTTGTTTAATACAAAAAAACAGGGAAAGGCTTGAAAAACACAGAGTTGAGACTCAGGGTGCAGGGTGAGGGTCTCAGTGCAGGTATTCAGGCTCCATTGAATCCCCCTCTGGTTCTTGTGCTGAAAGAGGGAGTAACAGACAGGAGAAAGGGTTATACACACCTATATAGCACACCTATTGGATGAGTAATTGCCTTGGGGAGATAAGGTGTGGTCTTTGTTCCCAACTGAAGTTATGGAACTTTATTATTTGTGAGTTTAACAAAGTATGACAAATGGCATCAGTAACAGATGTGATATGAATTTCTATAAAGTTGTCTCACATTCTTGGTCATATTTTATATACAGTATGTAATGAGTATAACATGTCCAGTAAGTATAAAGTGTTTCCTAATACTGTGTATTCAACCGCTATGGTATAGTGTATGGTACTATAGTATGGTATCCTAGCTTAATCTGTTATCTGTAAACGTTCCCTAAATCTACTAATTTAGGGATAATCCACATGTTCATTTGAATCTGATGTACTGATAATATCCGCAATATAAATCTTTAAGCTTCTTCTTACCTTTAAAAGTCCGTCACGAACGGTCTATTATGCTGCAACTCTACAGCTCTGCTAGCCTTGGCGCTAACTTCCGGGGAACGATTGAGAGGCTCCACGATCCGCCATTGCTGTAACAAAGTGGTCCATTGGAGTGACGGAGATGACGTAACTCTCCGTCTATACGGCGCTGGCTTTACTAACAAACTCATTGAAGTGCTGTGTTTGTGGCTCTAAGCCTTAAACCTGACTCGCTTTGACTCCTGAAACCCTCAGGTCGTCCTTTCCTCAGGTGAGTTTTCATTTGACTACATGTTCCTGTTTTCAAACGTTATAATCTGCAGGTAACCCCAGGTGATATCATGATGATCAATATGTTCTAACCGTGTTAGCAGTGTATCTCATGGAGGTGTGTTCATGTGTTATCACAGGCTACAGGTGAGTTTATAGAAAGTGGACATATCTTCAGAAACACCTGAACACCTGGGAGGGACACTTTCTCTCCTGACTCTTTGTTTACCTTTACACTAATCTAGAAAATATTTAATCTCTCAATAATTAAAATAATATTTAGTTTCATCAAACACACACACAATATTAGTCAGTATTATAATCAGAAAAACTTTATTTATCTTTGGGGGAACGTTAGAATTTGGTTGCTTGATTTTAGATTTACAATTTCAAAAAAATCACATTGTAAGATGAATGAATATAATATGGCAAAAATAAACATGTAGGATTCATGTTTCACCATAAAGATATTGATAATGATATTAATGCTGAAAACAGGAATAATGCTGGAAATGACAAAACAAATCTTATTTTACAGAATATTTTAAATATAAAAACATCTCCTGCATTAAGTAGATATATTTGATTCCGTTCTTAATGATCATTCACCAACATTTCATCATTTTGACTTGTTTGGAAAAAATTGAACTTTTTTCAGAAATAATGAAAATTCAAACTTTTTTCTCAGAATCTCAGAATTCTGACCTTTTGATCTGAAAATCCAGAATGTGAACTGTTTCTTAAAAATTCTGACTTTTTTCAGAAAAAGTAAAAAATCTGACTTTTTTCATTGTTGCCCCGAAAGTGGATGAATCTGGAACCAACTCTTCAAACATTATAAAGTCACAGAAACCTTCAGAGGTAAAACCTTCAGGTCATTCATGCTAAAGTATGGGAACACCCTCTCAGTGAAAGTGTGAGTGAAGGTGTGTATGAGTGTGTTAGAGTCAAGATCAGAGAACCACAGCTTTCCTCCATTATAGTCCAGATTCACTCTGACCCTCTGAGTCCTCTTCAGACCTGAGAGATCAGTGTCTGGACCGGATGGAGAGGAGGCTATGTATCCACCAAACCAGTTACATATTCTCCATGATCCAGAAATGATGCCTCCCTTCCACTGTGCAGACTCTGCTAACACACCCAGATCCCACCACAAACTGCCTCCAACCTGAACGTCCCAGCTGTGAGTCCCAGAGTCAAAGCCCTCAGAGCCCAGGACAGAGCGGTGATCCAGCCTCTCTGGACTATCAGGACGTACCTGCATCCATTCTCCTGGTCTCAGAGAGGTCAGATCTTCAGACAGGTGGAGTTTTGGACCAGCAGTGTTTGGGTCCAGGACCACAGGATGGTAGGACACCATGTCCTTCATCTTGCTCCAGATGTTGAAGCTGAGGTTGCCCAGGTGTTTGGCCTGGTCTATCAGAGCTCCTGAGGGCAGCTGTGGATCCTCCAGCAGGGGGCGCTGCAGCCTCTCCACTGCAGCCTTGTAGCTGTGCAGGAAGGAGACGTCTTCAGCTCTCAGCTCCTCCTCTGTGGCTCTGACTGTGTGTGAAAGAGCTGCCATCTCTCTGCTCACAGCCTCCATCTTCTCCTCCATCA